GTGAGAAGTTAATAACCAAGTACACCACCAGCATTCCCATTTTATGCAAAATAAAGACACACAAGTGTTACATATTTAAATACATGCATCCATATGTACGCACCCAAAAGTTTGTGGTAGGGCAAAAAAAATTAAAATCAAATGAAAGTTTTTTTAAAGACATCAAATGAAAGTTAACAGTACTCATTTCGTTGACTACAGAGAAACTGATAGTTTATTAGTTATAGGCTTAAATTATATAGTACAATTAGAACTTATAAAACTAATTAACAAGCTTATAAGGTGTTGCTTCAAATCTCTTTTCTTCCTAAATTATATCTTGTATATGGTTTTCGTCCTCCTGCATTCGTACTCCTATAGTTAATTTGATGAGGTAGCTTTAAATAAAGAAAAGATTATTTTTCTTTAGTGGTAACAAGTTAACAACTAACAAAGAAGTATATGATTATCATGATTAACAATACTAATTAAGAGAGTGATTAAAGAGGAAGCAAAGTGATTAGACACAAAACCCACTTTTATTAAGAGACAAGTTGGTCCAGTGATTAGGGTAAGATTGAGGTACAACTGTGACACATTTCCTTTCTTGATGCTTCTCAAAACTTTCTCATTCCATCATTTGATTCATTTCTATCTAATCCCAATTACATAATCTTTCTCTTATATTTTAATAACTCTTTATTCAATTTGTGCTTCTACTTCTCTGTCTCGCCACTATTATACCTAAACATAACTTTAAAATGACCTATTATTGAGATTAACGATTAAAATATATTTTGGATCAAAACTAACGCGAATAAAGCTAATTGGCTATTTCTATACTGTTTTTTTAAAATGAACTGTTAAATTATATTCATTTATTCAAACAAACAAAAAACTGTTTTACTTCCAATTGCGTACTTTTGTTTATAAATCATAATCCATAATGAACATCCTTCATGTGACTTGGAATCTATATGAAAACCAAAGCTAAATTCCGTCGTCATAACAGGTTTTGTCTTTGTGCTCTGAGCAAAGAAAAACGGTTGTGAATACCTTCACAACGATAATCTTCTACAATTTCCCAACTATAATTTTCTATGCACCATAAGAATCTATAATAGTTTGTTCTATTTTACTACGTTTTTTCTTTTGTGCAACCCATTATTTTTCATGTCGAATCTTTTTCATACCGCAATACATGAAAACAATAAAACTTAAATTAGAAGAAACAAGATAATTATACGACAACGAATCAAAAATAATTTTTTGATGCGTCGGTTATAAAGCTAACGGCTAAGCCGGAAAGCATAAGTTTGGTCACATTGAGCCGTGACGTTGAAACACTACCCATATCTCCGAGTTTCGTCAAAACGAATCATGTTGCATCCTTTGGCCCTGTAAAAACCGCTACACAATAATACAAAACGATTAGGAAAATGCTCGGTTTTGGTTCTGAGAAGGTTCTTACTCTCAAAAAGAGAAGAAAGAGTGGACAAACTTTCTCCCACCGGGAAAAATATATACGATTTGAGAATCCATAAAACTTTGATCTTCTCTCCGTGGAGAAAATATCGAGCTCAGAAATTACAGGATTTAAAAATCTAAAAAACTTTGATTTTTCCACAGAGAAAATATCAGGATCAAAACACATCAATGATAAAGCCAACCTTGTGTTAAAACCAGAAGTCGTAACAGTGTAATAAATATACCATGATCTGGGCTTGGACTGAATGAATGATGGGTCAAGAAGCCAAAAATCGAAATGGGTCAAGGCCAATCTCTAGGATTCTCGTGACGGAGGAGCTTCGAGAATTTCGACAGTGGGAAGGGGAAGCGTCTCCTCCATAACGAATGGTTGCAACGACCGCGTGAGATACAAATTCCAAGCAGCCACAGAAGAATAGAAATCAAACTCGATATTCCAGAGTCGAAATGGTTGCGATAAGACAAAGCCATAAGCAACAACACACACGACAATCATATTTTCAATGATAAACATTTTACATGGCGAACAGTTCCCTCGGTATAAACTAAAAATCTTCGAGTAAATTTGCTTTTCTTACCATTAAATAATTTTTGGTTACCATTGGACGACCAACCGAAAATATTTCCAAATTAATATTTACTACGTGATTCTCCCGCATACACGCGAATAAAATATTTATGTAGTTTTGTTTTTAATTTTAGTCTTTAAAAATGTGAAATATA